TGGAAATTTCGACTGCGCCTTTGAGTCCGGAATATTTGGAATATCGAATTTGGTATGGTTGCATATCTCGTTTGCGTGCACGGGGTTCCAAACGAGATCGGAGCACCCCGTCGGAGTTTTAAGTTTTTGGAAAGTTAATGCAAAAAAATCTGCTATAAATGCAGAAATATCAGCAACATTTTCCAAACTTAAAAACCTTATAACTCTCTCATCTCTCAACCGAATTAGGCGAGAAGTGCAGGAGCTTCGTATATTTGGTGACTTCGCTGTAGAGTGTTTGGGAGTTGTCGGGTGCGCGTAGTTCGAGGTAATTTCGCGATAAACCTGACTGGTGTACCCTTTTTCGAGCTTTTGTTTTTGGCATTCTTGTTTTGGTCATATCTCTTTCATCTTAGCTCGGTTTTGGGTGATTCGAAGTCCCAGATGTTGAAAATTGTCGTGGCTTCGTCGTAGGGTGTTCAAGGAGTGCTGGGCACCTTTCGATTCTCGTTAATTCCGAGTTTAGACTGCTGCTGTTCTCTTTTAGGTTGATTAAAATGTGATTTTCCTTGCATGTTGGGTTTTGCTGCGTTTTGAGCCTCGAATTGTGTTCCATTTTGGAACACAAGTTTGGGGTGTTGTTTAGGGTCTCTTGACCGAGTCAAATTCGTACAGTTCAGTGCGGGTCCCACGATTCCCGTTTTGATTACAAAATTGACCCGTCTCCATTTGTTGTGATTTTGGTGTCTAAACGACTGTACTAACGTTGTGATCCTATATTTGATAGAGTGACAGCGTTCAAAGGTCGTTCGAGAAGGAAAAGCTCCGGCAAAGTGATTTGGAGCGCGCGCTATCGGCCTTGAGGTAGGCTACAGCTGCCTTTTTTTTAGATTGAGCTTAATTGTGTAAAAGCATGTTGATTGGAGCGAATTGGGGGTGGGTACCAGTTTCCTACCTTACTTTGATTAGATACCTCATGTTAGGATCGACTGGTCATATTTCGGGTGTAGTATCATGTTAACCGATTTAGTAGAGTTGCATGCTTATGTGTTAAATGCTATTGTATGCTTGTATGCTATATGTTGTATGCCTTGTTCATCCTTAACTGTAAGCATGATGTCCTTAGTCTAGGTTAGGCTAGCATTGCCTTAGACTTATGACCCGTGTGGGCTGGATAGCTTTGACTTTCTGTCGACGTCGTTCAGATGACTTAGCTCCTTGTAGACTGGAGTAGCAGACTTGAGTCTGATAGTTTGAGCCTTAGATTAGGCGTTATCGCTGCTTGCTGCACTTCTGTATCTTCTCCCTTTAGTTCTGACGTGTTCTCGAAGGTTTAGTGTATCACTAAAGGTGTGGGATTGAGATCGTATAGGCTTGGAGCCTTTTCTGTGATATCTTAGAGTGGACGTCGTTCCACAGTGGTTGTTGTTGGATTGGATCCTATTAGAGATACCATCACCACCGGGGACGTTCTTTCTAGCTGGGATGGGAGCGTATCGCTGGCTGGGTAGACTCGGTGATATCGGCGATCACCCCCGGGCCTCTCTTTTTAGTTGGGCTAGGAGTGTGCTTGCTGCTGGCTGGGTGTCCCCGGGTCACTCTTTCTAGCTGGGATGGGAGTTAACTGCATGGTAGGACGAATCGCGATATCTACCTCACTCACGGGTCCCTCTTTCTAGCTGGGCTGGGAGTGGACTGTTTGGTTGGGTCCCCCCTTAGGGTCACTCTTTCTAGCTGGGCTGGGAGAGCACTGCTGGCTGGGTGGAGTCTGATGGATTATCTTGGTTACTTTGGGCTGGGAGCCCAGTTTTCTTCTTTCTCAGTAGACTTAGCTTTTATGTGTACCTGTTGGGCTTATGGGGGTCCGTTCAGGTTTTATTTGAACTTGCGCACGAGTGTACCTTCTGGGCTTATGGGGGTCCAGTTAGGTTTAGTTTAGTTGTACTTAGTTTATTTCTGGTATGCTCATGTGCTTTCTTTTCATATCCGTTTTGACCTCTTTGTGTCTAGATTCTATCCTTTCTTATTGTTTTTACCCTTTTTGCTCAGTCGACCTGTGATGCCTACTAAGTACCTATTGTTTTGGTACTCATGCTACGCTCTGCATCTATTTCGTGATGTAGGTCCCAGTACCAGTTACCAACGGTGATTAGTTCCAGCCTTCTTTTGCAGTTGTTACTCGAAGACGAGGGCGAGCACTTGGCGTTTTGGGTTTGTTCTGTCTCCTTCTTTTGTTTAGCTAGTCTTGTTGCTTTTGAGACACGCTCTGTTATGGTCCAATTTTGGGACTTGTACTCTTTATTAGATAGCTTTGTACTACTGACTTCCAAGTTCTGGGAGGGATTTTTATATATATTTATTTTGGTTTGTTTCTGCCTTGTTGTCCTTGTTTAGATTATTGTTTTCGCTAGTTTCTGCCCTTACGCTCATTACTTGATGTTTTGGGTTACGGGTTGGCTTACCTACTGGTAGGGTATAGTAGGTGCCGTCATAACTCAAGAAATCGGGTCGTGACATGGATGCTGTTCTAATAGCTAATGAAGCTATAGATTCCAGGTCAAGTTTGAAAAAACCAGACATCTTATGCAAATTAGATATTGAGAAAGCATATGACCATGTCAATTGGGATTTTCTATGGGTATGCTAGAGAAGATGGGGTTTTGGTCTCAAATGGAGACAATGGATTAAATTCTGCATATCTTCTGTAAGCTTCTCAGTGTTGATAAATGTTGAATTCAAACAAAACACCAAGATTAAAGTAAAAGATGGTGCTAAAACTAGATTCTGGAAGGAGGATTGGCATGAAGCAGGAAATCTGGAGACACTTTTCCCGGACATACATACTCTGGTTCTTCAGCAACAAAGTACAATAGCTGAACTATGGACACCTCATGGGTGGAATATTATATTTAGAAGGCACCTCAATGATTGGGAAATTCCAAGAGTTACAGAATTCTTCAGCGTCATTGAACAATTTAGTGGCTTGGAGACAGGGAAAGACAGATTGCAGTGGTTAGGGAACAGTTCTGGGACTTTTAAAGTAAGTGCAGCATATAGGAAGTTGAACCACCCAATTATGCAGGCATCCAAATGTCCCTGGAAACTCATTTGGAAGGCCAAGATCCCACACAAAGTGGCCTGTTTTGTGTGGTTACTGGCTAAGGAAGTGGTGTTGACACAGGAGAATTTGATGAAGAGGGGGATTACACTGTGTTTAAGATGTTTTTTTGTGGGGAAACTGCAGAAACAGTCAATCACTTGTTCATCCAGTGCAAGGTCACTAGCCAATTGTGGAGTCTATTCCTAAGGCGCAAAAACATCTCATGGGTCATGCCTGGTAGAATTGCAGAGGCATTATACAGTTGGGAAGAAGCAGGATTAACAAGCAAAGAACAGAAGCAACTGGAGAATCATTCCTGCTACTATTTGGTGGACTGTCTAGAAAGAGAGAAATCTTAGAGTTTTTGAGAATAGGGAGAGCAACATGCAGCAAGTAAAATTGAGGTGTATTCTAACTTTGTGTTTTTGGTGTAATCAGATCTACTCTAATGACACTGTCTCTATCAATGATGTTTTAGACTCATTATAGGGATAGGACAGTGCCTTTAGAGTTCATTATGTAAATATGGTTTCAGTACAACCCATGTACTGATTTAAAGAAATAGAAACAGTTACCAATCTCAAAAAAAGGGAGAAATTCTTTGGATGGAAGCAAGCCCTTCGCTAAAAACTCATAGGGTTTTCATTGTTATAATGAATGTTCTGCTTTCAATTTAGATGCCTATAATAATTTCACTGGTGGATTCCTATCCGTATATGCCGAATATGGAATAGAGTTGACTCTATGCCGACTCAATCCCTGATGGAGATACCTATGGATCCTACCCCAAACTTCTACATGTTACTGCTGCTAATGCTATAGAAATTACAGGAGAGAATCTGGACATGGGAGCAAAGAATGCCTAAGTTAATCAAGTTCATGTGTATGCACGGGGAACTAGAAAGTCATTACATACTGGGTCACAACTACAATACTACCACAAACTCAACTGCAGGTGGCCAGTTTTTCAATAGCATTCAAGATTCGGAGTCCAGTGTGGAAATTTGATGTCATTACCAATCAGTGATATCAGCTAGATAGCTACGATTCAAGGCCAAGTGCTGACTCTTTTCTTATAGCACTATTTCTGAAGAAATATTGGAAGTCTATTACTTGCAGCAAACTGCCCAATCTTTTGTTGAGGATCTAGCTCAGAGTGATACCAAAGAGATCCCTATTTGGATTATGGAAACTGATGCTACAGACAATTGCAACACATACATCCAAGTGGTGATGCGTTCCAATACAGCAAAAACATATTAAAAAAATAAAAAGTTCCAAACATACACATCTAAATATGTATCAGTAGTGGCGTAATGCTATTTTTCAGCATATAGACCTAGAATCCTAGATCCATCTCGATGTTCAGATAACAATTTCCAGAATTCAATACAGAAATCAGCAACTGGTTCCGAAAATCAGAAAATGAAATCGCAATTCTACGTACACTGATCCATGCGGAGAGAGTGGGAACATACCCGACGTCGTCACGGTAGAGGCGGTTGATGAGGACATCGCCACGGAGATTGAGGAAGTAAACAGCTGAAGCTGCCACAGGCATGGCTGCACACCAAAATGGATCTAGAAACTTCGATCAAGTCAGATCTAAATGATTCGAAACGTTCTTCAATTATAAGGAAATGAAAAATGAAGGAAGAACAGTTAGATTTGTTGGAGATGGGAGAGAAATGTCGCCAGTTGGGGACAGCTTAAATTCGCCGTCTTCGGTATCCCTTTTTTCTAATTTCAACGCCAGAAACGAAATGAAGACGACAGCACGTGCTCTTCGTCTGACCCGGTTTAAAAATTAAAAAACGATTAAAAGGTCTAATTTGCCCTTGTTGGAGCAATTCTTTTAACGTTAATTTGTGGTTAACAGAAGTAAAAAATGCGTTTTCAAAATTTGCACTAGGAAGAAAGTTAAAAAGAAAAAGAAGAAGAAGAGGCAACTTTAATTTATTCCTTTTTTTCAGTCATCGCACTATCATCGCCGATCACTAATCAGGACGAAAGACTTGTTAAGATCTGCCGCCGATTGTGATTTCAGTGTTGCCGTCGTTTGCCGGTACTTGAAATGCATGTATCTTCTATCTAGCACAAGTGATGGGTATATTTAGGAGATTAGCTGGGCTTCTAGGGTTTTCAAAGGACGAAGGGCACGAAGTGAGAGATGTAGAAGACGAAAACGCAGGACCTCACAATAATCTTCCTCGTAAAGGATTCAGTGTCCCTGTTCAAGTTCCTGTTTCCAGAGATCTACCTGGTCCTATCCTTGTTCAATGTAATAGAGGTGCTGGAGGCGTTCAGGTAATTACTGGAAACAAAAGTAAGGAAACTTGCATTTTGAGAACCTGTAATTCTGTTTTAATCATTACTGCTTACAGCCTTTCTAGTTTAAATGATCTGTAGACTATAAAAGCCCTTAATACTGTTGAAAATTCAATCAATTATGTGTCTATACCAAATTAGTTAGGTCGGCTTAATTAGACTGTGTGCACGCTCAACTGCCAAGTTACTGCTATACGAAAACAGAAAGATAAATCCTGAAGTATAGTTTCTGCCAAACACAACCCAAATAATGATGTAATTGGACTAATATACGTAACGAAAGAGTTACATTTCCCTACTTAGGGAAAATCTGTATTTTGCTTATGCAGTAATTGAAGTCGTAGGTATTCACTGGACCGTAGCAGTTTGGAATTGGAAGTTTCCATGATCAGTGACCTTCTATGAGTGGAAACTATGTTCTTTCTTTTAACTTCCCTTTAGGTCCTGGGAGAGGAGGTTTGCTGTAGATTTGATTTTGCACAGCTTGAATCATTTACCTGAAATTTTCTATTTCCTGTTTTGGATTGTTCCAAGTGCACTCCTAGTTTTAGTCTTTTAGAGACATCCTCATTCTTTGCTATTTCTAGGTTCCATGGATGCAAATAATCAGTTTCTCTTCTTTTGCGCTAGGTTTCTGTTAGTACTTATGGAATGTGCATATCTTACCATATGTAGATCATGATATATATGAAGCTGTCTAACTGCAATGGATCTTCCAGCGTAATCATACAAAACTGTTCTTATGAAGTTTAGACATCCTTGTATGATTTAAGATTTTTAGGTTGTAGCCTTTTGTTCTTTTAGTAATTTTTCGAGATCCTCCTATTGTTTTGTGCAACCAAGGCATAAGATTTTCGCCTGCAGACATGATGTGCAGAGAGGAGTCAGATTTTTGCCTACAAATATTGATTCCTGTGATGGTCTAGGCTATAAGTTTGTCTGGATCACATAAGAGAAGTATATTGAACTAAATAGAACCAGTCCCTTTAAAGACATCCGATAAAATTGAAACGATACATAAGTTTAGCATAGCCCCTGCACAAAGATGATATGCACAAATCAAGAAATGGTTCAAATAAAGCTTGTCGTTTGCAGGTCCCTCTTATGCTGTTTATGACATATCCTTGAGGAGAAGTATGGGGCGAGATTATGATGTGTCCTCATTGTTTAGGCCTAATTCTTCAAGTCTCTTCTTTTGTCCAATTAATGAAATTCCATGGACAGTGTGTCAAACATAGAACGACATCCGATCTAAAGAAAGAATTTTGTTCTTCAACTTGGTTGCTAAGTGTTGAAACTTTGCAAGTTTAACTTTTAAACATAATCGTTGGGTGGTAAGACAACTCCTCCAACATTTGGTTTCAGGTTATCTTCAGCCTCTTTCTTTTTGATCAGGACAGGTTCTGCTAAGCCACTGAAAACACAGCTCATTTATAACTATCTTCGGTTTTAAAAAAAAAAATCCATTTGGTGATTGCAAATGCAATATTCGCTTGTTTGTTGGTTTAGATTTTGGGGCATGATGATAGATTCCCTGGAAAGGGGTAAGTTGTTTCATTGCTGGCGTCAAGAAGATGTCCCGTCTGCATATTTTGGACTGTTTGGCTAGAAAGGAACAAGATATGCTTTGAGGGGAAACGACCGCAGATTGCTAGAGTAAATATAGCTGTATCAAAAACTTGTATTTTTTTTTTTGGTGTTATAGCAGTACCCTAGATAGGATGGAACAATATTTGAATTTTTTTGATATTTTAGGGGGGGAATATGTAGTATGAGTGTATGACTGTGGGGATGTTGTAGCATTGTCTTATACTTGCTCCTGTAACATCTTGGGACCATATTAATAAAAGCTTTTACCCATCAAAAAAAGAAAGATGCAAAATTACAGAAATATTAGATGTTAGCTCCAAACATTGTAGAACATTTAGGCCCGGGGAGCTAATAAGGAAACCAAAAAAAGTGCTGAAGTAACAAAGTCTAGGAAGGGAACAACATTATTTGCAAGGGGTTGGAGTACTCCAACTAAAGAGATACATAAGGCATTTAGCTTTCAGAGAGTTGTTAGGAGTTGAAATGCCTAAATCCTAAACCCTGCAAAAGGAAGGACATTATTATGAAGGATTACTAAGTAGGTTAGGATTTTATTTGCAAGCCTAGATGAGGTGTTGTAAAGGGTCACTTGAGGTACTATTTATCCTGAAACTAAGTGAAGTCCAAGTTGGATGTTTCGTCTCACTTAAGCAGTAATTTTGTGTGGATTCCGAGGCACTAAGGCATAAGAGGCCCTATCTTGAAGAATGTGACACTAAACAATGAATATTGTTGGTACATTGATGTAAAAAATGCTAAGAAAATGTTACGAATGAATGTGTTTGATCTGGAATATGAAATTAGAATTTAGTTACAGGATTAGAAAGCTGGTCATTAAATTTGAATTCGCCACTAAAAAAATGCATCTTTGCATGTACTCCCTCCGTTTCAAAAAGAATGGCCTAGTTTGACTTGGAACGGAGTTAAGAAAAGAAAGAATACTTTTTAATCTTGTGGTTCTAAATTAAAGTTATGTCAAATGTACCAAAATGCCCTTTAATCTTGGCCTTAAACATGTCACGTGGAAAGTTGAAGTTAAAGTGTTGCCAAAAAAAGGAAAGGGGTCATTCTTTTTGAAACACACTAAAAAGGAAACTAGGTCATTCTTTTTTGAAACGGAGTCAGAAATTTAAAATTAGTTTGGACATGATTTTCTTGCTTATACTTCACTTGATGGTGATTTTCTCAACTTGTCAAAATAATATTATTTTTTTTGTGTACGTATTCTCTTTGCATCATACATGCATATGTATATTACCTCCATTTCCTCTTCGCTGAAGTCCATACCATAACTGCGCCTTGTGCTTAAAACATGCTTCTTGGACCTTCTACCATATGTGGCTAGGTTTCTAAGTTCCAGGACTTGCTGAGATAAGGCGCAAAAGTCCTCCGGGTATCTCCTCACTCCTAGCTTGTTATACATACTGATGACTCTGGGAGATCAGGGTTTTTTTCCAATAACCTTCTGTGGTATGAGCTATGAGGCTATGTGCACCATCTGATAAAGAGTATTTGAAAGGCGGAAAGAATAGTTATTTCATTAGTTTGTTCTTCATCGTATTCTTTCAACTTCAAGGACTTCTTAATCCCTTGTATCATACTCAAAGTTCATCTATAGCCAACCTTCCTATCCCTCTGAAACATAAGAAATAGGAAAAAGGTGTCTATAAAAAAATGAATTTCTAGATTAGAGAGTACATGGTAGATTTTCTAATCAATTTAACTTATTGAGACCGTGGTCCTGCTGCATTTTATTAATGCCTGCTGGTGCTTCTTTGATGGAACCTTTGGTGGTTGGTCTCCTTGTGTTAATCAAAATCCTAAAGTTAACAAATAAACCAGAGTGTTTAAGTTTCTTGGTTCATTTGGAATCATATGAGTAAAACTGCATGTTCTTTGATGGTGAAGAGAGAATGACAGCTTTGTTTGATAGTCCATATCGTGTTCGACTTGTTCATTCATTAAAAATGACTAGTATTTCTTGATTTATGCTGAGTGCATCCTGTTTTCTGCTTTTGCTATCTCAGAAATTTAGAATAACTCGTAAGTTTGTGATGCACATCTTTAATAGTTTCACATTTTTCTCCATGCTTAGGGATTGAGATGGTATGCCAAGCGTCTTAGAATAGATGAAGACGGAGATGTGGCAGACGAGTTCCTAAATGAGATCCCACCAGATGCACCTTCTAGTACAGACGAGAATAACAGGAAATTCCGTAAGTTTGAATTGAAGTACACTACAAAGCCTGCGAAGGTAACAAGCCAGGCACTCTCAGCTGCAGGAAAAATTAAATATCGTGTGGAATATCAAGGCAAATTGGAGTGGATTTGAAGACTTACTCTGGGTAGACATTGCATTTGAGATGGGGATTTCAGTAACATGACTGCAGCTACGCAGCTTGCTTGATATTTTTGCTTTATTCTGAAGGACTAACAGTGTGTTTATGTGAGGTGGTATTGATTGGGGATTCAGTTTCCTGTTGGCTCTTATTTGTGAATAGCTGGTGCCAGGAAGCGATGAAACGCAAAACAGCATGTTTTTGCTCTTAAAACTTCCGGTATACACATGCTATTGAACTTTCAAGAACATCATGTCTTGTTAGCTATTCACTGTATCCTTGTATGTATTGAGAAAAATTAGCATGGGCATAAATGACAACATCCAACAAGCACTTTTGTAGAGTTCCATTTTCCTGTTCTAACCATAAGACTACGGTATTATAGTGGTTTATTTTAAAGATTGAAATCTTTTTTAGTTTTTTCAGCAATACACTGTAGTGTGCTAATCTTATTTGTTGCTTGTTTGAATTTATGAATGTCGAATGGCCAAAATGTTTAGTACAAGGATTTTACTCATGGATACATTATGCTTTAAACAACATTTTTCCTGTGTGGAATTTATCCTTGTCTATCAAGTGAATTTCGGTTAATTTGGAAACAGTTGCTTCAGGTTGTTATATTCTGAAATGTTATATATAAGAAACGATTAGGGTGAGAGACTTATACGCGAGGCTTTTAGTTTATATATGCTTTCTAGGTTCCTGGAGACCAGCAAGTGGCACTGTTAAGGTTCCAGCTTCTCTAGCAGTAGAAACATCATTCTTGAACAACTTTGTTTTTCCAGACTACTTGTGGCAAAATCTGAGACTTTACTTTTTGCGTTGGGTATAAGGTATCAATATCCACCATGTGCTACAATAATTTGAAGATACTAAGGTAAATATCTACTCTATGCTTCCTGGTTAAACTTTGTGAGTGAAAATTGAATTCAGGAAAAGGAAATAGGGGCTGTGTTGAAGAGGAATCTCCATTTTGCTTTTCCTTACACTACTGCATTTGGAAAGTGTTAATAGAAAACAGATGAGAGAGAGAAGAGATAATCTAAATATAATCATCAACAATCCATATGAACAGTTAAACGTAAGTATATTATCAGTTTGCACATTATGACAACCAATACCAAAGCATGACTTCAGTATTTCAGACAGAAGTATTTCTCATTGACTAGTTGATTACTCAAACAGTAAGAGAGCTTCGATTGCATCTCCTACAGATTACATGACGAAGGCTACTTCAAAGATACACAAGCTTAGCACGACAAGACAACACCATATGCAAGAAATTCTAGGGAATGCGTTACAAGTATTTTCAATACTACTATCGTGATAAAAAGACAGAAGGGTATGCATCATCTTTTGTCAGATCCTCCAAGGCCACGTACAAAATTTCCATAGAAAGTGACTGAAGATGAAATACAAGAGAAATTAGCCTACGAGTTTCCTAAACGTAATAATGAAAAGAGACAATGACAAAACTGAAAACAGGGTGATTAGAGTTGTGCTCACCTGAACAAGCATTACCTTCAACAGAAGAACTCGGTAGATCCCCACTTGGACGGATGAACAGCAGAAAATTTTCACGCCCAGAGTAATGTAATTATGAGAAACAGCATAAAAGCCAAACCAAAGCAAAACCCGGCAACAACTGCGAAAGCCTGGATTACAAGATCACACGGTGAATTGCAAAAACCTTGTTACAATGACGATCCCAGAAAACTCAAAATTTCACTTACTTTCCCTTGTGATTCAAACTTCATCTTGGTTGTAAACCATGATAATCCTGTGTCCACAAAAGGAGCGAGAGCTAAAGCCCTACAGAGTCAGAACATTGCCAGATATCAAATTCTCAAAGATAAGATACATACCATGTGGAAGAGCTAAAAAGTTTCTGCAGAGCTAATTTTTGAAGACTGAACCTCATACTGAAGAGAATATAACAAAAGAAAGAAAATTCTGTAACAACACAGAGATTAATTAATATACAACCAGATTAATTCTATCTAAAACATGATCAGCAATTCCTCTTTTATCATCGTTTGGTGGGGAAAATCTAGAAGGATGGAAGGAAGGTATACAACCTAAGCATGTCCAAAGATGCAAATCTATGTCAAAGTATATGATGCAAAAACAAATTATTCACTCCTAGAAACATGGGATGGTAATGATTGACTCACAGGTCACAGCTCATAATTACAATGTTTCTCATACAAAATAATCTGTAGAAGTCAAATATCTCTCAAGACAGAAAATCCATTGGTGTCATTTGAAGAGAGAAATACTCATCTCATTTTGTTGCTATGTCTGCTGAATGAATTCTACACGAACAGGAACTTATCATGTTTATGCTGTTCTTCTATCGGTAATTTTATCAGATGCAAAATATCAGTATTAAGAAGCTGATCTAAGTTGTAGCATCATAGGCCAAACTGTCCTCTTCTCTATCTATCCTTCATCACTTTGTTTTATATGCATGTTCACTTCTAACACTAAGTCCCAAACGAAAGGCTTGAGGACTCATGGTATTTTACTCTGTGGCTAACATGTGCAGCATTAGATTCTTACCCGCCTGCTCGGACAATCTTTGTAACCTGGCTACCAGCCCATACCATGGCCATTACTTTGAGAAACCTGCAGATGATGTGGAACTACTAAAATTTTCTCCAAAGAAAACAGAACATAAATCTACCAGAAAAGAAAAGAACCCATAAGCTACAGTTACCGTTCAACTGCTGCAAGGTAACCCATTCTTCCAGGTGATGGAGCAACATAAAACCTAGGAAAAAAGCAAAAAAGCTGATGAGAACGAGATGGATAAACCATATGCTATTGTGTAGCAGAGCAGTTGTATCATGCAGTCTGAAATAGTCACAGGTAGATGTAATTCTGGTCTTTCAACAAATTTTGAGACTTTAGGATCAAAATATTGTATATATTTTCTCCGCCGCTTGGTAATATTACTGTTATCAACTACCGCTTAATACTTATTAGGCTTATTGCCTCTGGACACAAACTGGGTTTCACATTGAGCATTGACAAGAATATTTTTTTCATTCTATTTATGGAGGTTTGCCTATGAACTTGAAAGATGAATTTCTCTCACAGGGTAAAACTGAGGGTAGGTAAGAATCTCCACATTCAGGCTTATAAGTTTTCTAAAGAGCGAATGCTGGTGGAAATAGTGTATCGCTGGTCAATAATACTATAAAAGATTGGAATAAGAAATACAAACAACTATTGGTCATGTCGTTCATATCACTTGACATACCACACGATAAGAAAGGTAGTAAGGTAGTATGCAGTATTTAGTAGTCCATATGATAATACTCCTGCAACACCATATCTTCTCAATCTCGTCAGAACCCTGATATCCAGCAAGGGAAAAAAGTTAGATCTCAACATTAGGTGTTCTACCAGATATTGCTAGTGTTAACCTCGGCTGCTCAGCATAACAAAGATGTAAAGTGAAAGCAAATTCATCCGTCCATTCCAGAAGAGATAAGAAACATATACCAAGATCAGAGCAAAATTTTATGTCAATAATAGAGAAAGGGATGAGGAATAAGATGTTAATTAAACTTGAAAATGTGGCCCTTATCATAAGTTTAAAAACACATGACCCAATAGGCGATAAAGAATATTAGAACAGTCCATAAGGAGTTATGGACAAATAAAATTCTCCTGCAGGTTCCTTTTTCAATATTTTGATAATTGTAAGAAATTTTAATTAGCCTTCAACACATTGCTATGCTTCATTGAGAAAGGAAGGTACTTCTCCATCAGTTATCCGATCCAAACAGAGGAGATTTTATATTAAAGGAAAAGGGGACAATTTTTCCTTATACTATTTGATATTGAGCAACTTTCCCATCCATTTGATTTTTGGTCTAATATTATCCCTGTTGCCAGACAAAGTCTCAATTTTGCCCTTACCTCTAACAAAGCTCCAATGTGAGCCAAATTTTGAACCATAGTCAAAAGTTTAAGGGGTAAATCTTTTTCCTGAAGAATCTGAACATGTGGACTCCACGCATTTCACACTGGAGCTCCAATAATGGAAAGGACAAATATGAGATGATTTGCTAGTGGCAAGGGCATGATTGAACCAAAAGTCAATCGAAGGGAAAATTTGCTCAATTTCAGATGGTATAGGAGCAACTTTGGATTTTCCCTATATTAAAACAATTCTATCACCAAATTTCTGCTGCTTCTGAGATCCTCTATCGTTTTAGTACATAGTAGTTAACTGGTACAAACTCTCAAGACAATACATTTTAGTACATAGAAGGAGGATTGTGCCTATAACAGTATAAGAAATGATTAGCTCATCATAGTGGAGTCATCGTTAAACAGCGTAGCACTCCTTCAACTTATGAACACTCACTCCATTTAAGTAACTACTCATCTTGTCACTGCTCTAACAAAGAGACATATTACACAAACACTATCTAATCCACAAGCGAAGCATATACAAAATAAGAAAAGTACAGAAGTTATGGTTTTCCAACAAAATGGTCCTTTTGTAACTAGAGATAGATTGAGAAAAAAATATTTTTTCTTACATATTGAACTTGAGCAAATAACACAAAATACAGAAATATCGAACATAAATGCATAGATAGATAGCAATTTCAACTGTGTCTCAAAATTTTCGAGACACTGTCAAAGCAGCGCAAAAAGTAACACTTACGTGTTTGATGTGGGTGATTCAGTTTGACTAGTTTCATCTTTTTCTACAGTACCTAGCAATATTTGAAAGTAAGGCCAATTACACGGTTTAGTTAGTAGGGAAATGATAAAATACGCACTGTTAGGAAGATATCAAATACACATTTTACTTTTTAGGATGATACCTTTTTGATCTAGAGGACTATTTTGAAATTCTGGTGACTCGTAAACCTTGCCTTGCAAAACAGTAGAGAGGTTAGCTATGAGATAAATCACCACATCATGAATAATAGTAGGGACTTCTTATGGATAAGAATGGGGAAACATTAAAATGAAGACTAATGAAAGACATTGATATTCTGAATAGGATTATTCAAAGCTACTACTATGTATTATTAATTCTAAATGTGTGTGCATTCCCTGATATGACAACCAATAACAACTGCACTTAAATTCCAAACTAGTTGAAGTTCGCTATATGAATCCCCTATGTCCACTCCGCTTCATTTTGGCGTGTTTCCTTCGATTACTCAATAATTTGTTTTTTAGGAAGCATACCAGTTTTGGCATGAATGAGGTGAGATCGATCATTCCAAATAGAGGAATTCTAGCTACACAGGAGATTGGTGCTTAAAGGAATGAAAGAACTATGCAACTCAGGAAAGAAAACTTGAAAATTGAACTATATATAGAAAAAGACATTCTTTTTATGACACACCAAAAAGGAAAGTAAGAGACTTAAATTGCCAAGGAGGTAGTAGCAAAAAGAAAACAGGAAATTACATTATGATCACTATTAACAGAGCAGAGACGAAGCAGATGCCTGGAAGGGAACTGTTTTTGCCGCAGGTACAAATGACGAGTGCAGAGCACGTTGGAAATGCTAATCTTCACAAATGAAATTAAACAAAAAATCGTCATATATCAACGTCTTAATTTCAAAATTCCACATATTTTTGTTCAGATTGAAGATCCACTATGCTTTATCAAACTCACATTGAAAAGAAAAAAAACGGTTAATATTATTTGTTTTTCTAAATGGAAAATACGAAATACAAATTGGTGCAATTGAATAAGAATTGACAGGAGAAGGGCTTACATGGCGGTGGAGAGGTAATGAAGAGCGAAGGGATGAGGAGAGTGTAATGCTAAGAGGAGAAGACATGGAGCAATTCAGAAGCTAAACGGAGAAAAAAAATATCATAAATCGTCACTCTTTGGGTAATGAGAAATACTGTACGGGACAACACATTGTGCTTTTAATTGCACCTACTTCTTATATATATATTCGTCTTATTTATCTATTTGCAGTAAAGGTATTTTTTTCTTTGCTAAATGGAGTTTCTAGAGAATCGATTTTTTCTCTGCTTATACCCTAGGTTTTTTTAGACGCCATACTTATATATTGTTGTTACAGACAATTTGTGTTTGATCAATTATTTAAAACACTTCTGTTAGCATTGATAAATTAAAAAAGTTACTATTGTCACTCTCTCCAAAAGTGTTTTTGAACTATATGTGCAAAACAAAAAAAGAACATACGAAATTTTACTTTGCATAGTATTACTGAAATAATAAATAATTTGAGACTCCAATTAACATACATAAATTAGACTTGAAAACAGATTCTTCTTCTTCTCCATCCATATAGATATGAAGTAGATATAATGCCTCGCGAAGAGAGGAAATGTGAGGGTGAAACATTTACAATTAGATTCCAGAATTATGCAAAATACAAATTGTTATTTTTTTCGGTTCGTATAATACAAACTTTAAAACACATCTAATTGGCATTGAGCAACATTAAAATTACTGTTTTAAGTAAATTTGATCTAGAGCTCCAGTGTTCTTATGAATCCAACCAGCTTAACAGCTTTATTGTCTCGGCAAATTGAATGCTTTCGGACAAATTTTCATCCCTGAACCATCAAAGCTCTTACAGTTCAACAGAAAACCTGAAACACTAAGGTTGATTAGCTTGAGGAATCTGCACAATGATAGGGTTCTCTGAACTGTATATTCAGCTACCATTAAGTTCGGGGTAATACAACCATGAAAAACAAAATCTCAAGTACTTCAAAAAAATTATGCCAAAAAGATCAATCATTCAACCTTGGCATCAGATAGTAAAAGTGCAACTAAATAGTTACTCCCTTCATCCCAATTTTATGTGATGGCTTTTGACTGGGGATGGAGTATAAGAATGAGAAGAAGACTACTGAAATTTGTACTCTAAAATAAGCAATAATAATTTATTTGGTTATAAACCATCTCATTAAAGGTAAAATGAGAATTTTGAAGTTAAATTGTCAGTGAATGTAGAAAGATGTCTTCTTTTTAGGAACGACTAAAAAAGAAAAGCCGTCTAATGCAAATGCTTACATCGAGAGGGTTATTTCATGGCTTGCCATCTGAAGACCCATATGTTCATCTAAGTAAAGAGGTGTCACACAAACTGGGACAAAGTGAATAGTATCTTTAAGTCCTTTTAAGTCAGTAGCAGAAGAAAGTTAATTATATATCCATCTACATACATACACGAGAATTCTTTTAGCAACATGAATACATGATGGTTGACTTTAGTGATGAATTGCTCCATATCTACAGATCCTTCACGCAAGTACAAGGTATTATTTGGATTTCCACATATTCTACTTTGGCGTGGTAACTGAGAGCTCATCAACGAGTTGAATTGTTTATGTAGGGGGATGAATGAAGAAATTTGTAGGACTCACCTCTCAAACCGTTCTGATTCCAGAGGATAATACTTGTGCAGCCCTCCCTTTGGATGGATAAGAGTTGTTTGCTTGGTAGGCAAGCAGCTATTTCCTTCTTCGTCGACGGAGGTTTGAAGGCCACTGTCATTGCAGAAAGATGCTACATCCCATTCCTGAATAACCATACATTAGAGCAGCCAAACCAGATTGTGAAGAGCTGAACTTTTTCAGCTAGTCAAAATAGAATTTTACCTTCATCATTAGGAGTTTGGAAAGAGTCGCCAAGGGAAAAGGCTGAGGCTTGTATCCTCCATAATTCACACAGGAAATAGCTAGTGCTCGAACCTTAGTAATGCAAATGGAACAAATTAAGGGGAATCAATTTATCCAAAAAATAAAAAAGAAGGATAATAAAAGTTACAAAGGAATCCTATTTACAAAGTGGTGATATTTGTGAAAGCACTAACAATGGAGCATTTGGTTTCGCATTAGCTAGGGATGTTTCACACTATAAGTTAAAGTCTGCCATTACAGACCAGCCTCAGTTTCCAGTTTTCTTCCAAGTAAGAAGCAGACTCATATGGTAGGAGAAGGATCAAACCCCAATTATATTCCAACAGTGACGGAAAGTGGGAGTGGTGAATAGATATTTATCAGGCAAATAAGAGAGAGCATATGCCATAGGAGCTTTCTTTGCTATTATACAAGAACTCACCTCATTGATGGAAGGTTCAATAATGCAATACTGCAAGTAGGATGCCTCGGACTCTGTTGTATGGATAAATTTCTTGTAGAAGCCCAATTTAAAGTATCTGCCACAAAATAAGAAGTAAAAGTTGACCTTCCCATGTACAATAATAAATGTATTCTACTATCAACGGTAATTGATACTAAATGCCATTGATCTACCTCAAGATCTTCCGAGCAAAATTCATTTCTGTCGACTTCATAATGTGAGAAGGAACACGGCGAAACCATAAAGATAGTGTCTCCCCCTGCAAATCAAGTAGTACAATGTTTAGTGAAACTGAACAAACAAAATGTTCTCTGAGTAAGCACCTGATATTCAACTGCAACTCACAATCTTTGATAAATACAACGATAGTATAAAAAAACGTAACTGTTCCTTGGGTTTTGGAATCAAGGTGGAGAAGCACATAAAAGGAAAAAAATTCAGCTTCATTTTCGAAGATGGACGCTGTAGTTCGATTTGCTTCATAAAGATTAAATAAAGTCGCCAATGCCTTCGTTAGCTGCTCCATGTTGAGGTATGACAGCGAAGAAATATTTGAACCGCTACATCTTCTAAGTTTATGCTGGGAAATTATATGGAATTTAACCTGTGGAGAAAAATATATTAAAGCTACATAATTCTGAACTTTCTGCAGCTATACTAATAGAAGGATCACTTGAACATTTTAAGCCTAGAATCCATTAAATTAAATAATTTTGCTTGGTTTCCTAAATAAGAAGCCTCCTCATCATTACAACCA